TTAAAGGCGTGCACCACCACCGCCCGGCCTAAAACTCTTAACTACAAGGGATCTGAAGCTTCTGGCCTCTGTGGGACCTGCGTGCACCTGCATATACTTCCTACAGACACACAAGTATATATAATTAAAAGTAATAAAAATAAATATTTTAGAAAGTGGAGGATGTAGACAGGTGGTACCATGGTGCATGCCTGTAATTCCAAATTCTAGCTCTCAGTGGGCCAAGGCAGGAAGATGGCTGTAAATTCAAAGACATTGTGAGCTACACAGGGAAGGCCTATCTCAAAAATAAACAGATTAATTAATCACATGGTCAGTAACCTACCAAAAGAATACTGATGTGCAATGGATCTTCCCCCCTTTTTGAACATTTTAAGTCCTAGTATTTCTCTAGGGATAATGATACTGTGCTGGCTAGTTTTATGTCAACCCGACACAAAATAGAGGCATTTGGGGAGAGGGAACCTTAGGAAAATGCTCCCACCAGACTGGTCTGTGAGCAAGCCTGTGGTGCATTTTCTTGATTAATAATTGATGTGGATGACCAGCTCACTTGGGTGGTGCCACCCCTGGGCCCTATAAGAAACAGTCTGAGCAAGCCATAAGAAGCAAACCAATAAGCAGCATTCCTCCATGGCCTCTGCATCTGCTCTAGTCTCCAGGTTCCTTCTTGTGTAAATCCCTGCTTGACATCCCTTAGTGATAACTGTACCTGCAAGTGTGGGCTAAAATGTTCTCCTTCCTCTCCCTACCCGTGTGTGTGTGTGTGTGTGTGTGTGTGTGTGTGTGTGTGTGTGTGTGTGTGTGTGTGTGTGTATACATATACATGCATATGCCTGACCCACTGAGTTTAGGATTGCCTGCATGGCCATGGGTCGGAAGTTATTTACAGGAGTGTGGATGACTTTTTAGTAGCTACACTACTAAAGAAAGTGATGCCTCCTCTTCCAATTTGGTGATGTTTGAAACAGTCTCATTTGTAGCCCAGGCTGGCCTTGGAGTTATAGCAGTTCTGTCTCAGTCTCTTGAGTTCTGAGATTATAGGTGTATAGAGCCATACCCAACTAAAGACTTTTTAAACTTCTGTTTAAAGCAGATAATTCCTTATATAGATTTGATTTACTATATGACCCTTTCTCCACAGTAGCTGGGTTTTCTTATAGCTGGTGGTACTCTGGGGTCTTGGAAGTTGACTTTTCCTGTTTTACTTCTGAAGCAGTAACCTTGACCATCCTTTACATAAATACTCCCTTGATAGCACTCCATTTATGTCTCCCCCGCCCCGTTTTTGTAAAATTCACTCTTCCACCATTCTCTGCATTCTATAGTTGACCATGTATTTGGTTTCGTTGGTCCTTGGTTCAGGTAGCTGCTTCAGCAGTTCGAGAGAAGCCAGCAGTGGGTGAAACAGAACAAAACAGGAACTTGTACTCCTCCACTTCCCCACTCTTTGTTTCTTCCCACAGTAGTCAAGAGTTTGGCAAACATTTGCAGTCTCCTGTCAAGTGCTGGGGTCTTTGCTAGCTCTGAAAGATTCCTAAATGAGTGATTTACAGTCTCTGCCTTCAAGGAACTCTCAGTTCACTAAGGTGAGGCAGATAAACAAATAGTTGTACTAGCCTGTTCAAGTTGAAGTAGTAAAGGGTTCCAAGGAGCTAGTTCTGGGGATAGGCATGATAGGAAGTGTCAGGAAAGGACTCTTCCTGGAGATGCCCCTAGACAGGAAAGTCTTGCTATAGTAAGTTGATTTGTATTTTATCTCTTTGAACAATTAATATGGGTACAAAGTACAGGGCTTAAGAAAATTGAGAGAAAACATATAGTAAGCATATATATAGTAAGAATTTTTTATTTTAGTTTTTGCTTCCTGATTTTTAACCACTCAGTTCTCCTTCCTAAAGGCAGTGTTTCTTTTGTTTGTTTGTTTGTTTTTGTTTTGTTTTGCATAGCACTTGCTATCCTGGAACTTGCTCTGTAAACCAGGCTGGCCTCAAACTCAGAGATCACCTGTCTCTGCCTCCCAAGTGCTGAGATTAAAGGTGTATACCACCCAGCAAGGCATTGTTTCTTACGCATTATTCCTGAGGGTTTTTTTAGTGGATAACATACATCCCTTAAAAACCCAAGCTTGGGCTGTGTATAATGGTATACACTTGTGTAATCTTAGCATTTCGGGGGGCTAAGGCAGCAGGATGGAGAGTTAGAAGCCAGCCTGGGCTACCTACCAAGATCAGCATCAATCTGGGCTACAAAGACTGTATCTTAAAAAGCTAAAATAGCCGGGCGGTGGTGGCGCACGCCTTTAATCCCAGCACTCAGGAGGCAGAGCCAGGCGGATCTCTGTGAGTTCGAGGCCAGCCTGGTCTCCAAAGCGAGTTCCAGGAAAGGCGCAAAGCTACACAGAGAAACCCTGTCTCGAAAAACAAAAAAACAAAAAAAAAAGCTAAAATAAATTAATAATTAAAAAAAATACAAATGTGCATTCAAATTTTTTTCACACATTAATTTTAGAAACCTTTCATATTAACAAGGATTGGAATGCCCTGTTTTTAAGCAACTGAACAATATTATTGAGTATACTCTAACTAATTTAACCAACCTCCTTTTTAACTTTCAGTTGCTCCAGTCTTTTCCCTTTCTAAACAATGCTCCGAGTACCCTACACATGTATATGTTATTGCACACGTGTGATTTCTGAGGACAGATCTAGAATTAGAATCAATAGGTCAGAGAATATATACTATTTTGGACCTTACATCATTAAGTTGCCTTCCAAAGGCATTATATATAAAATATAAAAGGTTAAGACTATCTTCTGTCAGCTGGGTGGTGGTGGCGCACACCTCTAATCCCAGCACTTGGGAGGCAGAAGCAGGTAGAGAGAGCTCTGTGAGTTCAGGGACAGCCTGGTCTACAAATCAAGTTCCGGGACAGCCAAGGCTACACAGAAACCCTGTCTTGAAAAACCAAATATATATATATATTCTGTCTCCACCAATTCTTTAAAATCCCTTCCAAAATAAAATTGAGGCTAGAGAGATGGCTTAGGGGTTAAGAGTGCACATGCTACCGATACTTCTTCCAGAGGTCAGAAACTGCCATATTAGGCAGCTCACAAGTGTGTGTAACTCCAATTCCAGAGGATTTAACACCATCTTCTGACCTCCTCGGACCTCTGCACTCAACATGCACGTATCTATACATAGATATACACATGTATACATAATTTTAAAATAATAAAATTACAAAAAGGAATTTGCTCTTGTAACTTCCCTACTTAATGTCCTTGTCAGTATTACCTGCTTTTCAGAGTAGATTGTCAGCTCCTTGTCTTAACCTTCCTCTGAACCTCTACCAGGAGTACTCTGATTCACCTGTATATGGTAACTCTGCCCCCCACCCCACCCCCATATCTTACACATCATTTAGGACTCAGCTGAGCATTAGCTCCTCTGGGTAGTATTGTTTGACTCCTGATACTCATGTGCAGAACACCTAAGGCACTACCTTACATGTCTCTACTCAACACTTAAATATGTACTGTGCACGTGCTGTGGTGTGGCACATGCAGTTGGCATTCTTGATGGTTCCCAGTTGTTGCTTTGAAGAGATGACTAAAGAATGCCTCATAGGGTTATCTAGTGTGGATGCACCATAGGTTCATTGTTGATCTGTCATTAGCCAGTTAGGGCCCTGGGCATATCCTTTAACATCTTTGACTTTGAACATTCCCCCCTCCCCTTTTTTTTTTTTTTGCATCTGCAAGAAAAGCAGCTTAAAGATCCCCCTGCTCAGGTCTTATTGGTGACTATAACAGCGGTGACAGTTGAGGACTTCAATAGGGCTGGGCACTTTGAGTCTAAAACTTACATCAGAGCTATTTCACAGAGGAAACTGGGGCTAAGAGCCATGAGGAGCAAATATTCGACATAGCTGGGCATCCTAACTCTCACTTACAGCCATATAAATGTGAACACACTCCACGTGTGCACAGACATACAGACTTCTCCATGAACCATTCTGTCTATAGCTTTAAAGGCTCAAGGGAAAAGAGCCTTAGGTTGGTCTTGAACTTACAAAGATCTCCCTGCCTTTTCCTCTAGAATGCTGGGGTTAAAGGTGTGTGCCACCACACGTGACTTGATTCATTCTTCCCTCCCTGACTCCCTCCCTCCCTCTTTTCTTTTCTCCTTTTCTCTCTCTCTCTCTCTCTCTCTCTCTCTCTCTCTCTCTCTCTCTCTCTCTCTTTTTTTTCTAAATAATACTTTCCACTATTCAGAAGCCAGCCTCAACCAGAGTGGATGGTGGGGCCAATTAGCAACTACAGCCTATCTTTCACATCCCCATCATTGTCAAGCATAGTCAATAGAATGTCACCCCTCTGGTCACAGGTGTCTTGTCACAGGTGTATGGGTTGAGCCTTGAATAGTTTTGAGATTCATGGCTGTTGAGTCAGATCCTCAGGACTCCTTAGTCTCTGACAGGTTAGGCCTCTGTGACCTTGGCTGCTGCTGCTGCATTCCTTCTCTAGGCGGTGTGGTTATTCCTTTAAGACATGTGCTCACTCTGTTTTTCCTTTTGGTTAGCTGAAGTTGCTTTGAGGCCAAGTGACATAGGCGTAGCAGTTCCGTGTCAGCAGCTGCTTTCTGCTGGAGCCCATAAGTCAGTGGTCCTGGCAGAGCAGGAAGAAGTCTCTGAAAGCAGCACTGACCTGGCTAGCCATGCAGGTGACGTCCAGGTGAGTCCTGATCCTTTTTGCAAGGGTCTGGCTCCTGGACCAGATTTTGACAACAGCTGGCAACAAGCTTTGGCAGCTCTCCAGGAGGAGCTGAAAACCCACTTCTGTGCTTCTCTCTTCTCTTGGCAGTAAGAATTCAGTTGCTAGAATTCTTCCAACTTAGTGTGGGATTGCGGCTTCCTTGCAGAGTGCTTGTTTCTAACCAACTTATGGCTGAAATTTTCCCTTTACTTAAGTCTTTTTGTCTGTTTGTTTGTTACAGGTGAAGCTGTTCCTGGCTGGCTTTAGGATTCTTACTTCTGGATTTTAAAGTCTTTTTTTTTTTTTTTAAATAAATAAATAAATAAATAAAAAACATTGGACGGATAAAAGATGTGCCATGGCAGGATAGCACCAAAGAGCAGCTCAGCGTTTGTCGTGACCTCCGTGCGGCATGGAGTGTTCCTTCAGCTGGTGATCCTTAGCACTCTGTTTGGAGATGGATTAACCTCTGGTAAGTCCAGACCTGCCTTCTCTGTGTGGGGGAGAAGACTGTATACCAGTGTTTCTTCTGGAGCCTGAGGTAGGGGACTTGCCTTTTGTCGGGCAGTTTGGGAAGAACTTTTTTCTTTTTTAGTCTGGTACGGGAGGGAGCTAGTGTTTTGGAGCCTAATGAGCTAATAGAAAGAGGTAGGGGAACCTGCTGGTGATTACATTATCTCCCTTTCTTCTAGCTGTTGACATCTTCAGGCAAGAGAGAGGTATAGGATCCAGGACATATGATATACAGGGAAGGGAAAAGACTGGGATTAGATTGCCTGTGTTCAGAGCCCATTCCTACTACCACCTATGATCCTGAGCAAATCACTCTGTTACTGTGAGCTTCTAGCTTCCGCAGCTGCAGAGGGGGTTAGTAACAGTACCTACCTCACTGAAGATTGTAAAGGTATTAATATATTGCATAGTAAACACTTAAGGATGCTCACTCTTTATTTGTTTTTGTTTTCTTGTTTTTCTGTGCCTCTTCTCAGACCAGGTACATAGTTGAGATTCTGTATCTTTGTGAAAATAGGGCCTGGTAACGACCACTAACATTGAATTTTGGACAAAGCCACCTAACTGTCCCATAGTTCAGTTTCTTTATGTGCTAAACAAAGGTTACTTCTGGCTCCTCAGTCTGTACTTTGATGACTAAGAGCTTTTTTTCCCCCTTTTATTTATTTATTTTTTATTTTTGTATTATCAGCTTGATACAGTACAAATTCTTATCCTAATAGTGAAATGTCTCATTGAGGCTTGCCCAGTAATTGAGTAAAACCAAAACTTATTATAAGCCACAGTCATCCTAGGGTCCCCCCTGCTATGTAGCCTCCCTGGATCTGTGGGTTGCAGTCTAATTGTTCTTTGCTTTATATCTAGTATCCACTTATGAGTGAGTACATACCATGTTTGTCTTTCTGGGTTTGGGTTACCTCACTCAGGGTGATATTTTCTAGTTCCATCCATTTGCCTGCAAATTTTATGCTGTCATTGTTTTTCTCTGCTGAGTAGTACTCGGTTGTATATATGTACCACATTTTCTTAATCCATTCTTCAGTTGACGGGCATCTAGATTAAACTAGACATCAAAATACTGAACACTCCAATTAAAAAAATGGACTAAAGAGCCAAACAGAGAATTCTCAAAAGGAGAATCTCAAATGGCTGAAAGACATTTAAAGAAATTCTCAACATCCTTAATCATCAGGGAAATGCAAATCAAAACGACTCTGAGATACCACCTTACACCTGTCAGAATGGCTATGATCAAAAACACTAATGACAGTCTATGCTCAAGAGGATGCGGAGCAAAGGGAACACTCCTCCACTGTTGGTGGGAATGCAAGCTTGTACAGCCACTGTGGAAATCAGTATGGCAGTTTCTCAGAAAATTAGGAATCGATCTTCCTCAAAACCCAGCCATACCACTCTTGGGCATATACCCAAGGAATGCTCAGTCATACCACAAAGATCATAGCAGCACTGTTTGTAATAGACTAAGAGCTTTTTGATTGAGAATGATAAGCTGAAATGTTCCTAAGAGAGGCTGAAAATTCAGGAGTGAGCCATTTTGAATTTGTTGATCCTGGTTGTCTTTGACAGTACTCTAAAGTCCCTTATTACTTCACTTTGTGTGGTATCCAGACCTGGCATCCTTTCCAGAAAACACGTATTTGGGTGTACTCAGCAGGCCATTGGATGATATGCCAGAACTATCTCTGTATCTGTGAGTCCTGACATGAACATTGATGTTTAACAGTAATGGAATCTTTGCCAGAGTTCTTTAGAAAGACTTAGATGGCAGTTTTCTTGGACATGTTCCCTGGAGAGGGACCACAAAGCTGATCTGGAAGGGAACTATGGTCGGATTTTTCTTTGAGCTGCCAATAACGTCACAGAGACTTATTAATCGTGAAAGCTCGGCCTTAGCTTAGGCTTGTCTCACTAGCTCTTATAACTTAAATTAACCCATTTATTTTAATCTACATTCTACCATGTGGTTTGTTACCTCATCTCTTCATACTGCTCATGCTGCTTCCTCCATGTCTCTCTGACGGCTCCACCCTTCTTCCTCCCAGAGTCCTCTCTGTCCCCAGAAGTTCCACCTATACCTCCTGCCTAGCTATTGACTATTCAGCTCTTTATTAAACCAATCACAGCAATGTATCTTGACACAGTGTACAAATACCCCACAACATTTCCCCCTTTTTGTCTAAATAAAAAGGAAAGGTTTTAATTCTAACATAGTAAACCTATATGCAATAAGAACAATTATCAGGTAAGAATTACATTTACAATGTCCAATCTGTCTGTATTTGGGCAAATTCAGAAAAAATATTTTATTATTTATGTTGGTTTTAAATTAAATGCAGTGCTTATTACCATGCAGAAAGGTCACGAGGTACAACAAAACCCAGTATCAGAGCATTATTAGGAGAAGCGGGGGACAAAAGAGAGTGACCAGGCCAGTGAAAGACAGGTGCAGGGAGAGAGAGAGTGGGGGAGGTGGAGAGAGCAGAAGAGAAGGGAGGAGTCTGTGACCAGCTTTTTAAGGATTTCCCTGTACATGCGCATGTGGGCTTCCAGAGCTACGCCACGCATGTGCAGATTGCGTGACCACGTTGCTCATGGATGATGTAAGACGTAAGGCCCCTTACTTGGCTACTAAACTGCGCATGTGTGGTCATGCAGCTGGAGGAGTGGCAGAATCCTAACAATTTATTCTATCTTGGTGAGTCAAAAATTTTGTACTTAATTTACTTTCTATCCTAACTTGTATTACCAACCCAAAACTATCTTTTTAGGCCTTAAAATATTATCTTAGATAAATAAGTTAAGCTTTTATGTCTTTCAACCTTATATACTTTATACCTTTTTTGTGAGTTTCTTTTCTGAATTTGGTAACAAGGAAAACTGTAACTATTTAACTGTGTAATCTGTAACCCCATCAAAGACCTGAGAAGGATATACTATTACCTGAGTAAACAGAAAGTACAGAGCAAGCAACTTCCAAAACTAAGAAACAACATCTGGCTGCCTGGACAGTCATCCAGTGTTCTTCTGAAACGTTGGGGCATTTATCTTTACGTCCTACAGGCCTAGAATATCTGACAGACTTTTTTGTGAAGTAGGAAATTTTTGAAGGCCTGTCCTACCTTGTCTTGGCAAAGTTTGGCATTTACCTTCTTTTGTGTCCTGCTTGACCAATTTGGACAGCATACTGTTAGCAGTTGAGGCAAGGTCAATTTCTTGCCCAGTGGCTAACTTAGCCACAATAAAAGCAAGCTCCATATAGAGGTTCTTCAATGCCCATCATTCTTTTTTCAAGTAAATTGTTGCTGCCAGGAGCAGATGTGTCTTATTGTCATGAAAAGCCTCAGGTTATTAAACACCTTAAATGCCATATTCTGTAGGTCTCTGAAGTGTTTGAAGACCATCCGTCTGTCTAAAATATATCTCTGTTTGACCTTGAAAACATACCTAACATGGCCACAGATTTGATTGTTAGATGACTACTAGCCTGTATTTCTTAATTATCCTAAATAGTTTGTAATAATAACTTTCAAGGACTAGAAATTTACATTGCATTGTTAAATGAGCTGCATGGGTACAATACTTTAAACAAAAGTAGAAGAGTGTGTGTGTGTGTGTGTGTGTGTGTGTGTGTGTGTGTGTGTGTGTGATAACAAAAATAGCCTTAAATTTGTATCAGTATATAAAAATACGTATCAGTGTAAAATATTTGAGACTAATGGTTGTTCAAAAGTAGACTCAACAATCTACCCTTTTATCCCATCATTTCTATACTATAGGGGAAAGAGATCCCTGAATCTAATCTCCTTTGTTCAGCTCTTTTTCTGACTGTTACCAATAACAACTTGTAACCAACCCTCTAAATGATGAAAAACATTCATAACCCACTGAATGACCAAAAACCACCCACCCCACCTCTTGAGAATGTGAGCATCGTGTTCTCTAGACTGCTTCCTGTTGTCTGGGGGTAACAGCATCTTTTGAGGACTCTGAGAAAATTGGGATAATGGTCAAGTCCTGGGAGAGCTAGTTGTTGTTTAGTCTCAGTGTGATGGGAAAGTATAGAGGTTATCTGAAGTCCTGACTGGAGTAGTATGTGAGGCTGAACCATCTCAACTAGCAACATTGAAGTTGTTCTGGATACAGAATTTTGAGGAAACTGCAACAGAGGCATTCTGAGAGGCTAGATCACCTGTACTACTTGTCTTTATTGGTGTCTGGTTCTTTTTTTCTGAAAACATATAAACTTTTAAAAGTAACATATATATCCATATTAACACAAGTATGGAAGTGTGTACAAGTGAACTAAAGATGATTTTTGTTTGTTTTATGTTTGAGCAGGTAAAAGGCATCTGTCAACTTTTATAAGTCCATTTGGACTGTATTACCAAACCTCTATCCATGCTATATGACAGGATGGCATGTAGTAATAAGTCATGAGAATTCTGTAGCAAATAAGATCAATCCTGTTTCATCCAGTCTCAGAGCTGTTCTCATGTTGAGGGATCAGTTTATACATCACCTGACTTGTAGTCTTTCTTGGCTCTTTCCCTCATGTCTGTAGCCAAGATCCTCAGGAGGTCTCCCCCAGTCAAATCTGATCTCGATTAACTTTGAAGGAATCCATAGCTTTTTGTTTCTTATGGAAACAAAAGCGTAACCTCTCCCCTAACACAACACATTGTCCAACTTCCGTTTTGAAGCCAAGACATCCCTAAAGTATCTAGGCTGGTTTAATTCAGCAGTCCCTTCTACAATCCAGGGTCTCTCAGCAGCTGTCCTTCTCTGTTCATTAGCATTCAAAAAACCTAAAGTCAACAAAGCACCATTTGGGATCCAGATGCCCTGTGTATTTCCCATCTTTATGTGGCTTTATTTATTTATTTTTTTTATTTTACTTTACTCTCTCTTTAAAGACTTTGCTTTATTATTTTAAACAAT